ATCGACTAGCCATCCTTTGGTCGATCTTATCTGAAATCACCCTGTAATATTAGTATTCAGTAACGCAACGAAATACCTGTGACGACAACCGTAAGCAAATAATTCATTAGGATACCATAAATTTACAATATTAGAAGATAATTGGTGTACAATGTAATATCTGTTAGAGACAGTCGTACAAGAATAGAAAGTTGGGCTAATTGGTATGAATTCATATTAAAAAGCGCCTCGTCCTGTGTGTTCTCTTTTCCTTCTTCGTGTGTTATTCGCACTGTTGTTCAATATAGAGACAGTCGTATTTCCTAGAAAAATTCAAATTGCAAAACGATGGCACTTCGTAAAAAGGCGATAGTGCACACCTAAACACTCTTGTCTATGCCATTTTTTCAAGTATTTAAGGAATATGGAGAGTGTTTTTTAAGGCTTTATGAGATTTGCTTTCAAAAAGCCGTGAAATTCGGTTTGTGCAGGTGAGCTGTTCGGGCAGGGGAACATAACACAGTGAAATAATCGTCACAATAAATCTGTGATTGACTAAAGTGTGTCAATTAACTTTATAATTTGTGAAGATACATATATGGTTACGATAACAAAGTTGCTGAGCGTTATTGCAGACCACTAAACAAATATATCTGAGAAAGATTGGGGTAGAGGGGGAAGCGCAGTGATTCGCTAAAGTTGCCACGCGTGCAACAAGTGCAAAGTGTAAAACAGATATAGGTAGGAACCAGACTTGTATGTTATGTGTTACAACTAACTAATTACTTGTAATCAATTACATTTTATTGTACCTTTTTAACACTTCAATTACGTTTTTCTGCGGTAACGTTTTGTGTCATTCAGTTACTATTTTTCTGTAATGAATTGCAAGTAATAAATTATGTTTCCGAAAGAGCTAAAATTATTGAAATAAGGTTCTACGTAAAAAAACGCAATTTCAGCCCGTGTGTCACTCGTTTATGTTGCATCAATGCTGGACACTTTTTGACCCCTTTTAAGCTAAAAAAAAAAAGAAACTGAGATGCCACAAGGATTAGAAATTCAACGCGCTCAGCGGCGTTTTGACTTTCGAGCTGACAAGAGTGCCTCGTTTCCTGTGTACGGGTTGTTACGATCCCGGTTTGCGGCAGCACACACGACTGTGGTCTGCACTGACCTTATCAAGCCACGACAAAGACGCCCGACCCCCCGATTCCATATAATAAAAAAAAGACAAAAAGAAACAAAATGTAACCACTTTCATCGTATGTATACATTTTTGATTTCGTAATAAAAAATTAAAAAAAAACGTTACGTGAAAAGCATTTCATCACTTTTTTGTAATATAAAATTAATTTTGTGATGCTGTAATTTATTACTCTAAACAATTACATTTTTTTCAATAAAGTAATTGTAATTGTAATCGGTTACTTTTTTTCAGTAACACGTGCAAGACTGGTAAGAAAACAGAGCACGGAAAACGCAGCGACGCGAATGACCAGATACAGTCCTATTTGCGCAGGCCCGATTATCCTCAGCATAGCCTCCTCTATACTCACAAAGCCTGCCAGTTCGACGACAGAGCCATTGAGTGCCCGGTCGCAAATTTGAAGCCCGAGGATTTGGCACCAGATAGCATTTCTCGGGGAAGCTGGTATCCAGCACACAGTCTTTAGCGGCGAGGACCCGAAACATGATTTTCAAACCCGACGAGAAATGAAGCGATAGCGCGAGGAACGCGAGGAGCACAAGCGGACATTCCATCGCTCGGGAAATGTGTGTTTCGGCCTATCGCCGCAGCGGGTCGCTCATTACATGACTCTCCTCTCATCCGTTGTATGCCGTGCTACCTTTTCACTTTCGGCGGTCGCGTCTCGTGGCGATCTGCCAGGCTTTGTGAGTATAGAGGAGGCTATGGCCTAAGCCGACAGCCTGTCCACCGTCCAGACCACACGTTCCCATGGCATCTGGGCACACGCTCGTTCCGCTCGGAGCGTCTGTCCTGACCTTGACGGACGCTGGCTGGAACACTGATCCAGAGATCTCTGCGCTCCTAACGCGTTCGTAAACTGCTATCGTCGCCCTTGAGGCACGAATGTAGGGTCAATGACGAAGTAGTGTCGAAGCAACGTAGCGCAACGGCACTTGCGCGTGGTGCAAATGCCGTGCTCTGCGTAACATGGCGCCCCTCTTATCCCCCGCGTCTTCGAACCACCAGCCTCGCGCCCGTTGTTCGAGAGGTAAAGGGACAGCGCACCACTGCGCTTCCCACGCACAGGCCAGATTCACGAAGGGCTTGTTATGCTACAATTTTGCTAAAATTGTGTAAGTTAATTAAGCACATCGTAATAAGACAAGAAATCGGTATTCACGAACGCGTTCTTAAGTAAGAGGAGGAAGGCGCAGTTCTCGTATGCGAAAGGGGGGCTGTTGCTATGGCGACCGCGGCTTCGGCAACACGAGCAACCAATCGGAGAGTTCGGCATAGTTCGGAGCGCGCGGATTTTGAGTAACAACAAATGCAGGTGGCCTTTTCGCTAACACTTGTCCAGGGATCGTGTCCCTGCAGTGAAATGTCGAGGCTACCATGATATAAACGGGTCAGAATGTCGGGGCCGGGCTAACCACCTTTGTCGACTGCTACAAATTCGTTTTGTACGAAGTCGAGACAACTATCATGGTTCCTAAAAGAAGACGGCCCGCGCCGCTCGTTTCAAAGCGGCTCACATGGAAACCAATTGCCGCGGTGTTTTCGGCGGCCTTGGGGGATGCAGGAGTGAGCCGACGTCCAAAAAGATACGTGTGAACTACGAGAATGTTAGCAAGAGCTACGTAAACACCTGTTCACACTGGGAGCGGACGAGCGAGTGTTTGATCGGAGCGCTGGAACCGCACTGTTGGACCACGTCTTGGTTAGCGCTTCGGGACCTATCTTTTTCGAATGCAACTCGATGCTGACGTGACACTCGGCAGATAAAGTTTGAACCGGGATAGAAATTACAGAGAAGATGCAAGTGAGCTGGTGAACTTTCAACGTTGTAAAACTCGAGACGTAGGGCAGAAAGGAGAGAAAAAAAAAAAGGGGGACAACACAGACACAGGTCTTTGAGACCTGTGTCTCCGTTGCCCCTTTCTCTTCTCCTTTTTGTCCTACGTCTCGGGTTTTACAATGTTGAACCGGCATCGCGTAACTCCTATGAGCTTGACAGTGTTAACGTGCCGTCGTGTCAGAATAAAAATTCCGACACGACGGTACCCACAATACCACAATACCGCAATATTACAATGATAATATTTTGGTTGTGACCGCTTTGTCTCTTGTGAATGTGTATGTTTTTCGTATTTGAACATGCTTTCAACAAAGCGAATCTCTGCGTAGAAGGTGGTTCAGAGTGGCTGTGTGGGTATATATAGGATGCTCGATAAATAAACTAGTTAGCTGAATTGGAGGGGTTCTCTTCTGTGTCTGCTCCTTCGACAGAAGTTTTTCGTTTTCTGCACCACGGCCTCAGGTGTTAAAAGGCCTAATTAGCTACCACTAGCTCGCCTACGCATTCACAGTTTTCTCATTTTAATGTTTGCATTGACTGACTGCCTTTGTGGTTTCAAGAAAAGTAAACAAAGACGCTTTTTTTTTCTTTTTGAGCGCAGGGACATTTTGGTTGAGGACCTAAGTTTTATAGACACCACGGATTAATTTCCTTTACACAGGATGGTCCGTGTTAAAATTAAAACAGTACGTATTTAGGCATGCATGTTTATTTTTCGACATGTACGGCATGTGTAATCATCGCAGTACATAAACGGTGGCGATTATACATTTTAACGTTCCTGCCTGAACGCCAAACCGCGCTCGACCCCGGGAGGTGAAGCTCTGTTATGCGTTCGGTGAGCTCTAGGCGTTTTATTCGCATAGTATTTACTCTTGCTTCGCTATTTATAGTATCGCAATTAGACATTGACAGGCACAAGATGGTGGCTTCGTGTAGCTTCGTGTGCCTTGTTTTCTTGCGGTGGTGACAATCGAACCGCGAGCTCTTCCAACTCGAGCGTGTAATGCATTTTAGAATTGAATTCGAAATATGACAGCTCATTATGCGATGGAATAACTGGAACGACGAGAGAACGGCACACGACAAAACAGCAAAGTGACAAAACAGCACACGTCGAAACAGCACGCTACGATACATCACGGCGTTAAAACAGCAGCGCGACAAAAGGGCACGTGCCAAAACATCACGCGACAAAACAGCACAGCAACAATGCATCACGCACGTAAATGCATGTTATTTTTCGCGATATAGGACAAATTAGTAGCTGCATGTGCCTAAATTAAGTGATATTTCGTCGCTCGTTATTTTGTCGCGTGCAGCTCTGTCTAGCTTCCAGAATAATTTTATAAATTTCCTCCGGTTCGGGGGTTTGAGACCACCTAAACTGTCGCGGGAACGGACGTGTCAAGAACAAACCGAATGAAAGAAAGGAGACTAATCTGTGTCCTCAATATTTCCATTCGATTCTTCAAAGTCTGGAGAGCTTGGAATCCCTGCTCTTTTTTGTACACTTGGAATAGTAAATCCGACCGCTGAAAAATATATTTTAGAAAAACAAAAATCGAAACTACGGCGAATGAGTTAAGAATATGTGAGGTTGTGATCTTTCTGTTTCAATATTATTATCAAATTGTAGTAAAAAATATCGTTGAATAAAATAGTGGAAGGGCAAAATAAGTTCAAATTTAAATATTTTCGAATCGCCAGTATCTAAAGAATATTGGTAACAAAGCACAAAATAGCATGAAGTTTTCTCTCAATACAAATAACTTCAATTACATAACTTATTTCCCACCATGACACTGGCTCCGAGGTGCTAATAAAAACAAAAGGCAACTAGCAAATACATTAAGACCATGGTGATACTACATGATCTATCACAAAAGGCAAGGCCACTAGCGTTTCTTTTCATCACTATGCTATCTACTTTGTTGAAAGTTTCCGACTTGCAACTTTTAACACAAGTACCTGAGTGATCCACTAAACACTGAAGCGACGAGGGTGCCGCTTAATCCAGGATAATCCCTGAGCAGGTCTTGAACAATGTAGGGCATGAGCTGCAAAGAAAAAGAAGCAAAAAAGTGCAGGGAATTTTAATTTTTCTGCTGGCAGGGTGCACTTTCGTTCATTATAAGAAATCTGGAATGTAAGCATTGTCTGTTACAAAAAAAAAATAACATCTTCAACTAAAAAATTGTAATTTTTTTTTTGTCATGAGTTCTGTTGCAGTCAATAGGCAGTTTTAGTGGACCGTACGCTATAGCTTTGCGTACGCAAGGAAATTGTGGGTCGTGAGTGCGCATGCGCAGAACGCAATAAAAGTGCTAGCGTATTGCGTACGCACGGAACGCTGGGGATTTTGTGTTGCTGGCTAGCGGGCCTTGCGGGACGCTCTCGAGAGATCTCGGACCCAACGAGAGCGCCAGTTTCAAGATGGCGGTTGCCTTGACTGGCGCAGCAAGGGCGACGTGGTGTTTTCGAAGTTCTGTGTTACGTGAAAATCCGTGGTGTTCAGCTCGGCAATTATTTCTGGGACCTACCGCGGTCAAATCAGATCGCCCTGCAGCTGAAGGAGTGCACAGTGAAACTGTGCGTCGCTCGCAGTGTGCGTCGACGCTGCGATCTGCTCAACGCTAAGCCTATTCCCACAGTTCATCGCCGACGGACGAACGACTCTAAAAGAAATCGCCGAAGTTCTCGCTATGCACTGGACATCAGGGTCATGAATTTCATTCCGCGATATCATTGATAAAAGGTGCCGTTTCCACGGGACGACTGACGGAGGCTCCGTGATCAAATTTGGCTACGCACTCGTACTCGTAGCCTCTGTATCCCGCAGAAAAGCGCGCTTGACGAGGTAGCTGTGGCTTGGTTTAATCTGAAATAAAACGATTGGACACTTTTTCTTTTTCAATATTTCTTTCCAGGAGCATGGTTGCGCTATAATCGCGCGGAATTCTACGGCTGTAGCAAATTTAACCAAGATCATGCTCGGTGTTCACTCGAAAACGTAACGCACATCTAAATTCGGTCCGAGCAGGTCATTTTTAGCGTACGCTATACTATTGCGTATTGCGTACGTGAGATCCAGCAACGCTATATTAAAACTGTCTAATGAGGGATGATTTCGTTCGCTAAGAAACCCGCGGCATCATACTGGAAAAGAAGAAAACTTTCCATCATTCCCGCAGAGATTATCAATCTGGTCCACAACAATCAGCTCCTGGAGAACAAGGCGGTAGTGCAAGATTTGTATGGTCACATGCTGGAGACTATGCGGTTGGGCACGACCGTAGCGTAAGCGTTCGGATGGACTAGTGTTCAATGGGAGCGACCACGAGTCCCCCTTTAGCCCAAGGCTGAAGCAGCACTCGTGTCAGATGTGGACCCTACGATGGCCGGCGGTTGGTGGCATCTAATGTTCCTTGCTACCTAGCAGCTGTTGCAATACCACCATGAGCGAATCGTACGAGGAGCAGTGAAAAGAGCAAAAGGGAATGGAGAGAAAAAGAAATCTTGGGAATGCTAAAAACCAGTCGGTAAAAAAGTGTTGAGTACATGTAGGGTCAAGTTCAAAAACGTCTTCCCCTCCTCCCTCAAAAAAAGCCTAAATACTCGTAATAATTGAAAAACATAAAAAAGCATTTGTATGTCACCCTGCAGGCTGACGTTAATGTCGTACTCCAGTTACACGAGTGGAATCAGAAATCCTTAGGCAAGAGTTAGGGAGTGTTCGCTAGCTTAAATTACACGCAATTGAAATGGTGCTGCAATTCTTTAGGGCTCCCAGTTCAAACCAAACTTGAATGAAGTCTGCAATATTAAAGTAGGGTGATTGCAGACGCACTTTCGCGTTGGTGCATTGCGCTTCATACTCTGAACTGCTGCGATTCTTCATAATGCATAATAACGAGTATTAAAACAGTTCATATATGTTAAATAGAGAGAGGCACAATGAGTAACGCATTACCATCGACAAAATTCAATGTCATCATCAATGCTCCGAAACAATAGGTGCTTGGTTGACTGTGTGGTTCTTGCTGAAGATGTCACAAACGTCGCCACCTTTACTCAGTTAGTGTACTTCAGCCACTTTCAATTCGTTTAATGACTGTTTGCGTCAACGTCCATGAAAAGCTGATCGATCGCGAGTTAGTAACAAGGCAACAATGGCTGCTTGTCACAAAATGAAAAACCCAATTACTATCTTCCTCTTATTTTAACGGGACATTTTACAACGCTTAACGCGAAGAGATCTCTCGCATATTGCAATATTAGAAATTTCTCCGACGGCGGCGAACTGTTAGATCATAAAGCCGTCGAAACAAGTTTGGTCGCCAGTGTGCTTGAGCAAATAAAACATTTACAAAGCCTACTGGCCAGATTGTGCGGGAATGTAAAGAAGTACAAAAATATGTAATGAAAATAGCCATAGCATCGAAGGAGGATGTCCAGCGGTTGCATACTGGAATATGCTAATAGCTATTATAATTTCCCCACTGTCCCTTGCGTCAACCCAACGAAAACAAGATATAGAAGAAAAATATTCTAACCTCGTCAGCCTTTTTTATGTCACCGGTGAGTCTTGGATCACAGTCACTGTAGACGGCAAACAGGACAATGCCGGAAATTATAGATAATAATAACGTAACTGAAACTCCGGGAATGTTCAACAGGAGTGCCCTGCAAGAAGAAAAAAAGTTCACAGAATTTTATAACTTAAAACAGTACTCGCATGAACTTAGAGGTTCACCTATCTACATAGTGTTTCTCTGGAATATACGGAAGCATACTGATTAAAATATTTAGTTTAGTTTAGTTTGAAGTTTATTTTCACCGAAAGAGGAGCAAGAGCGGTGGGATAGAATCTGGTGTTGCACCTTCAAGAGGCACCTATACTTTCCCCTGCAGTTCAGCACTGGAACAGGACATCAGCAAAATTAAATCGAAAAATTAAAAATGCTTAATAATTATCGATTTTTCTAACCAAGGTTTCAATGGAACTAAAAGCCTCACGAGGTGATTGCATCCGGTACAATCGCGGATGATATTAAAAAGCCCAGGAGGGCTCGTGACTTAAAAGGCCCGCCGCGCTTTCTGTGAAAAGAAAGCTCAAACATTATTGAGACTTCAGCGGCTGTTTGGGTTTTGTCGTTACGCCCCGGCTGTCGCTGCGTTATGCTGATTTTGCCGAATATAGAGGCATTCCACGACAAAAGGTAAAATCAAGCGTGGCTCCATTGGGCCGGCAGGTTGGGCGTTTGACAAAAAAAAAAAAACGAGGGATGAACGCCGGTAAGCGGCTTTTATTTTATTTCACCAAGCACCATTAATATTGGTTTTGACTCAGCAATCGTTTGCCTACCAAGTATGGTCTAACTACAAAAGTTGAGAAGTTTCTGAGAGTTCGTTTGTTTACACAATAGCCGGGATGATAGCTTTGATTTCAACTGTTATATACTCATATCGCTGGACGGCGTCGGAGCCACGCGCTCGCCTGGCGTTTTTCACATTGCCCCGCGACTATAAGTTGAATTGTTACAACGTGATTTTTAAAAAGTCCTTAAAACTGTAGAAAATGTATTTTTGTCAGTACTGCTAGGAAGTTGAAGTAGTTGCAATACGGCATGTAACTCATGACTGTCGTACTGTAGTAGCTAAAATATATTAGCAGCCATTTTGGAAGAAAGTCCGAAAACCAACTGCTCACAAATATTATAGCACTTTACTTATAAAAATCATAAAAACCAGCCGATGACAAGCTAGGTGGCAGTACGCCATTTTAATGTTGATCGTTTGCAATTCACGCGAACATCGGCGCGGATGGCGTTGAGTGGCGTCATATAACCCACTGAGGAACCTTGCGGACATTGTTGTCGAGATATGAAAAGCTTCAAAGTCTATGTCCATGGGCTCTTATAAACGCGATAGCCGTTATAAGATGATAATGTTCTATATGACGCACTATAAGGTGCCGTTATATGTTACGGCACTCGCCGAATGACGTGGACTAAGTACTTCGCACCGAAAGGTCAAGAGTTACCGGTGAGGTACTCACTTTCTGGCATCCTTGAGTGAAGCAATGCTAGTGTAACGCTGAACCTGAGTCTGGCTGGCGCAGTAGCTAGACATCCAGAGCACCGTCCAACAAAAGAGGATATTCCAACTTGTGAAAGTATCATATGGACTAACGCTAAAACTGCAAACATAAAATAAAAAGAAAGCGATTTTTTTTTTAGTTTTTTTTTTTTTAATGCCATCTGATCGAATATTTTGAAGTTAAGGAATGTGCTTTCCCAGAATGAGAAAGTTAAGGAAACATGCAGGGGCGGGGGGTGATGCATCATTAGACAAGTTCAGGATTCGAGAAAAATACCGGCATGTCTTCAGTCTAACAGATATAAGAAACCTTAGAGAATTCAGAACCAATGAAGGCTTGCATGTCTTAGCTTGTCTATCGACATTGGACTCTCTGTAACGTGACCTCTAACCTGACACCTGTAACGTGACTGCTAGGTCAGCACAAGTGGCCCACAAAATGAGAAGACTCAACCAATTACACCCCCCTCCCTAAAAAAAAATCTAAATTAACCGGTTATTTTTAGCCTCTATCTCGCTGTTCTGTGATGGGGCGTCCACGAACTTTGGTTTATCGCTTTGGGCAAGATGCCTATTTCACGTTGCTTCTTTTCAATATTCTAGTTGTGATCTGGAAAGCCACTATGAGAAACATGCGAACATTGACGTAATTTAACCAATATTTTTGCAATTTTAGTTCAGCGCTTGTTTTCAAACAAGCTGGCCTGCTCATTGTTTTTCTAAACATGTGATATAGTTACCACAATATAGATAAACAAGTTCTAAGGGCGGGGCAAGTTTAGGATGATTAAATGGGATCTTGCCGCTGAAACGGTACACCCTGAGAAATGCGGAGCGCCTATTTTTCCCGCAAAGCAATTGAGAGAGCAATTCACTGAATCATCTGGATGGACCTCGGCGAAGGATGAATCTTAAGATCTCTCTTAATCTAAAATACAGCCCGCGCTGCGGCACTGGGTATTATGCTCAGCGATTGGCTATTCCAGTTACAAAGCGCAAATGTGCACGCTCCAGATTTATTAGCATTCAGAGCGCAACAGAACGTATAAAAAATTTCCCTGGCACCATACTTTCTCATTCTACTATGTTTTCTATCGTCCATCACAAAAAATCACATCCGTCGTTTACTCAACACAATATATTGGGCTATCTTGATTCTGAACGCAACGCAAACCTTCACAAAACTCTTGCCCTCTGAATAGAGAAGAAATGAACGTACTTTAGAAAATTCATCCGGCCACCTCTTTCACCAATTTCCCATGCTTTGTTGATACCACCGATGTGATAGAGTCCCTGGAATCAATTAAAGCATATAACGTATAGCTGCAGAAATGTGAAGATATGAGCACAAATGTGCCAAAATAATTATCCAATCCAATAAGTAGAGGTAAGTAAACAAGTAAATAAATTTAAAAAAACGTGCTGCGACAACAGTTTTCCTACAAGTCTTGAAAAAGCTGCCATCAGAAGTTTGCTAAGTTTATAATTTGGGAAGTTAAGAAACTTAAAAGACAACTTATAAGTGAAATACTTTGAATGCTGTCAAACACCCTTTTTGTTCTGCAAAGTAATTGATGGGGCACTTTTTTTTGAACGGTACAAGAACATCAGTTTGTCAGATTGAAATAGCAATACCGTTGAAAACTTTCGACAACTTAGATAATGTACTGGGCATTTTTGTACGTACAGATGCGATAACCATGACGTAGCCAACCAAGATCAGCACCATCTGGACTACGTCAGTCCAAACGACAGCCTTGATGCCTCCCTGATGATGAAAACAGAAACCACACACGCATTAGAAGGCGAGAAACCACAAGCCACAGTTGCGTGCTTGCTAACGTGTATAAGTATGTAACATGTATGTTTAAAGGAAAGCCGCGACTTACTATTGAGGTGTACAAGGTACACACGAGGCCGTTCAGAAGGATAGAGGCCCAGACGGGAATTCTGGTCACTGCGGATTGAGTTCCAAAAGGATCAAGGGAGCTTCTACTTGAACATTTTTAATGTGCGTCGGGAACATTAGGTCTTCCATAATATGGCTTTAGAGATATATGCGCGTTGAGGTTTTTACAGAAATAAATAAAATAAAATAGCTCATTTTTATATCTTCGTCGGATTTGGTGAGCGCATTCCTGTCAGTTCACGTGTGGGTGATACGTCGTACGCCAAGCCACCGAACGCAGTGTCCATAGAATAGAAGGTTCTTTTTCACTAATATTTGAGATCGTGGCTCTTTATTAGGTTCCCCACTCCCCCCCCCCCCCCCTCTTCCTCATAAAAGAAATATTTTAGCTTATAGCTTCTAAGCAGAGTGAGCTAGCTCTTACACATTGTGGTTTTCAGTCCAAGCGACATGTTTTAAAGCTTCAAACGCGTTGTTTACTTGATTATTTCTAGGATACAACAAAAAGAATCTTATCTGAGGTGCGCATAAAAGTATTGTATTTTACCGCACCATGCCCAATATGGCCTTTTTTACTACAGTTTTTTAAATGCAAACTTTCGTATATGTTCACTCCATGTCCTCAACGCGAGTGCACTGCTTTAAAAAAAATTATTTCGACGTAGAAAAAGCGAGATGCGTTTGGCACTACAGAGGCAGTACCGAAACAGAAACTAAATTGGTAAAACTTCTGGGGTTCGTTTGATCAAAATGAGTTTATTATAGGAATTAAACATAATACATCACAGAAAAAATATTGAGATATGACAGAAACTTATGATGACGTTTTTATCTTTCGATCGATTTTAAATTAACAATTGAGTTAAAGAAGCACAGAACCGCAATGTGAGCAAATCAGCTCTGTGGATTAGGAAGAAAAAGACGTGGCTGTTAATCTTACAGAGTAACCACGATTGGGGGGGGGGGGGGGGGGGGGGGGTGTAGGAAAAACTAACTAACCTGATCCAAGTGCCAGTGACGGGCCATAGAGCACCACACCTGTGTATAGAAGCTGCAAATAAATAAAGAGTAAATTGTGTTCACCAACTACGTATATAATGGTAAATTTCTTATAATGAAGCTTGAGGGATACGTACAGCGTTTCTGAAATTGTTTTATGCTCTATACATGTCTTTCGGGAACTATTTAACAAACAGGTGTGCTGCAAATCAGCTTTATCTGCAAAAGACTAGTCAAATCAAGATTCTTTACCTTAATATATGTGCTAGGTTAATACGCCCAAATAATAAAGGACGCCATCTTTTTTATCTCCACTTGTATGCCAGCACACGCTGTTGACATGTACACTATTTGAATCATGGTTTCTTGCTAACTTTTTCAATTGTAAGAATGACTTCCTCAAATGGATACTGTGTTTGCACTTCAATGTGGCGTTTTGACATATATAAATCGTACGAGTAATAATAGACACCTCCTGGCCAATCATTTTTAAACTAATCAGTTATCGCAAATAACCCCCCCACCCCCAACGCTTTGCCAACATATATATATATATATTTTTTTTTTTTTTTTTAAACTGAAGGGTTCAAAAATAAATGTGAACGAGGATTTTTCGCTGAGAGTCCGCGAAATTTGTAAACACCTTTGTGACATCGCTGATGTCAAGAGAGTAAATAAGAAAAAAAAGTGAAACTGGTCTATGATACGGCAATCATCAAGGAACAATTTCACGTCTTGGATTAGTTGAAGGGAGAAAAGTTTGAGCAACAAGAACATAGAAGTGTTTGCTCGAAATAGTGAATGACAGCTGTCCGGGTGTCGTAAAGAATGCCTTAGAGCTTGAGCACCTTGTGCGTATTGCCCTAAAATCATATTTTATTGGAAACAGGGTTAAAATCTCCTACCTTAAGTACTTTTTTCAGACGCATTATGTTTTATTGTATTTTTTTGTAAAGACAGAGATTTAAGAGGACGGGGCGCAGCCGTCCTTTACGATAAAATTATAACGCTTTTGGGGATAGATGATATTCGCCTTGGAGAGATGATTTGCGAGGCACTTTTTAGTAACACTTCGCGCATTCGATGAGCAGCCTACAAGCCTCCTAGTTTAACTTTTTCAGGGCTGGGAAATGTTAGAGAATATTTAACTCAAGATATAAAGACAGACACTACAGCAATGTTTGCTCTCAAATTTTAATTTACCTAGTATTTAGTGGCCAAATTTTTCCCCTGGTAGCGCTGACAACACGCATAACATACAGTCGAAAGTAAGGAGAATGCTTTAGGCATTCTCCTTACTTTCGACTTATGACAGTCAGGCTTACACCACTGATGAAAGTAAATTGCATTTACAGACTAAGATTCGTATTTCAAATGATTTAGGGTCATTATAAAATTGATAGTGAGAATTACATTACATTTTCTGGCGTATATTCTACAAAATAAAATCAGAGATTATCGACAGTTGCAGTTATGTATCGTAATCTTTGTTTTTCTATTTTGTTTATTCTTCTTTAAGCGGTAGAAAATTGGAGCGGTACTCCTCGCGTAACAATCGATCATGAATTTAGAAATGTATGTTGCGCTCCTCGTTTAGTTAATGAATAATGTATTTTCTTCATATATCTTCCGTTCTCATTAAAATTTTGCAGCACTTTTTAAGCGCTCCTCGTTTAGTTATGGAATGATATATTTTCTTCGTGTATATTCCGTTCTCACTAAACTTTTGTAGGAAATTGTATAGCGCGTCTAGTTTAGTTCTCAAATGTATGCTTCCTTGATGTTCTGAATTTCGTAACTTAAAGTTTTTTGCCCATGTTATAGTGTTTTTTTAATCGTGTTATTTTACAGTATACCACTCAACCCGTTATAATCTTCTTGTGAGATAGGCAGCACTCTTAAATAAAAACAACCGGATATAAAAAAGACAGGTTTACCATGCAGAGTATGAAGATGCCACACGCAACATTCTTGACCGCGGCTGACTTGAATCTGAGCACCAGATACTGGAATAGCAATAACCAATACATATTTTGACTCCGCAATTTTCATACATAAATTTACAAGCGAAAATGATGACATTGCATATCATGTTCGTGCCGCTTAAAGAGAACACGTGTTGTCGGTTATTAAATGTGAATAACTATAAGTTTGATATTTCTCACAAGTCATTTTTGCGTGCCCTAGCGACATTTTCACATCAGTGAATATGTGTCCTTTAAGAATTGTTTGTTTCAAAGCATTTTGACGTGTACTAATTTTCACTTTCAGGTAAGGAGAAAACTTTATCGGGAAAAGTGAAATATTTTGCACAGTTTCCCCGTAAAAAAACAGTTTGCTGGTGTTATATTTTGTCCATAACAAGTTAAAAGAGAGGGTTATGTGCAATATTTTTTCATTGGGTAGGCAGCTGTTTTCTGCAACCAGAAGCTGTGCCGTTAAATTTATAACAATTATGGTATTAAAAAACGAGTGTTCGTAAGGTTCATTTACCCACGAAAGAGTAAACTTATAGCACAGAACACAAAACACATGATTCATAAAAGGTGTCCTCTTCTGTGCTTCGTCCAATATATGTCTGTTATTTCGTGTAAAAATCAACTATTTCATGTTGGTCAATACTCGCCTGCTGCGTTCCTTTTTTTTCTAAATTACGTAGTAAAAACGCATAAATATTTTATTTCTAGGTATACATTTATATGCAAATAAATGCCTGAAAGTTTAGTTCATTTATACATCATACGTTAGTTGGTCATTGACGCGGATACCAGGAAGCTACAGCGTAAATACTGGAAAAATTCAAGAAAGACTTTTTGGCGGTCTTGGCCAACGAGTTTCGTCAAACTCGCTTTTGATTTTTTAATTTTTTTCTGGAATGTGGATTGAACAAAAAAGGGCTTTCGCCAACGAACTTGTTTTTCTGATGAACACAATTGGAGCTTTTATGATGTGTTGCAGACGCATGGGCAATCGAGAAACCCTGACGGACGAATACGTCTTTGATGTTCTTCTTCCTTTAATTATCCATCTCTACTTCCTTACTCTCTTCAGAAACAACATAGTAACAATGCGATTCGATCACGTCAATGACATATTGGTGTCTCCAGCTTTTTTAAAATCTTATTTATCGTAATAAAAGCCGGGCACTAAACGCAATATGCTGGTGGCTTACCGCTTCTTAAAGGATGAAATGCTGGTTTCCTACTATTAATTAGGTCCAGTGGTGACGGTGGTAGTAATATATGACTGATAAAGTGTTAGCGATTGATAAATATTGCAGCCTTAAGCCAGGAGGTGAAATCAGTGCCCGACTCACAATACTGAAAATCCGCGATCTCCATTGCGAAGAGCACGAGCGTCAGTTCATAATTCTTAACACTTCATCAATACAGTAGGGAGACGAACGGGCAACTCACCTCGTTGATACTAGTTATATCCATCTTGTAGTACATGGGCATGAAGAAAACGGCCGCGAGCAATATGGCGATTGTTGATGACAGCGTGCCAATCCAGAGTGTAGAACCGTGCAGGAACACTTCGGCGGGAAGGCCCAGAATTCCGTTGGAAGATAGAAAACTAGCCATCATAGAGACCGAGACAGGAAACCACCCAAGCTGCTTGTTGGCCGTCAGGAAGATTCTGTTGGACTGTCGACGGCGGTCGGCCCAGGCGAAGTACACGCCGATAGACATGGACAGCAGGAGGAACCCGACGAGTACCACGTAGTCGGCGGCCGCGAAGGTGGGCGCCGCCATGGTTGAAGACAGCTCTTCGACGGCGCTCCTGACTATTAAATGTCGACCAGGGGCCTTAGAGACTCATTTCCGGCCGGTCAGAGCATGTGGAGCGAAAGCTCGCGGTGGAGAGCCTAAGGATCAATTCACGCAATTTAAGGGTTCACGAGTTGTCCAAGGACTCGTGTAAAGTAACCAAAAGACATGCTGCAAACATAAAAAATAAGAAAATAGAGGACTGTGTCTAAGTCAAGTAAGGCTTTTACGTAAAACGACACACCGAAAGCAAGGGCAAAATAAAGCGAGAAGCAACTGGTTTAGTCCGGGCCCGAAATTCCAACAGCCCCGGCACCGACACCATTTCGGCTTTGAAAGCGATAAAGTAACTCACATTTGAGTGCCTATTTAACACCAAACTTTAAAACTCCTAAGTTTATTTTTGATTCTTGCTAATCGACTCGTCGTTGGTCTTATTTAGGATTGTCAATAGACATTGAATTTCACCAGACTTATACTAAACATTTAGCACTTTGTTAAAACTGCTTTCCTGTCCAAAGCTTTAAAGTAAAAAAGGTTTTGAAATAAGCGAAGATTTTAACATTTTAAATGCGATCAGACAATACGGTCGAAACAAAATGTGACAAACAACACGCATTAGGACAAGACACGTCAACTGAACTTAACATGACACCTGACCTATTAAGCCTTAAGCCGGTAAGATAAGACAAAGTGTGTCGTTCTTTCCAATTGTTTTCTTTTTCCTCGTTGTGAGACACGAACACATTTAAAATAAATGTCAGAGCATGTTGTCGAAAAATATAGCTAGATACATATGGTTCACCCTTTTCCTGATCTGCCATTTAACGGTGAATGCACTCGTCTACGTTGACGGTATTGCGCTAATATAAACGCAAAAGTTAAAAGCCAAAGTTGCAGCTGGTAGATAGTTACAAAATATGAGTTATCTCACATGAGAGAAACATTGTTCTCAACAATCAGAACGCGGTCAACACGGAGTGTGTTAGAGAACGACAAGGAGCTCGTTTTCAGCCACCAAAGCATCAGCTTGCGAAGCCTGTCAATGTATTTATCGGCTATATCAAAAAGCTTGTGTCTCAAAAACACTAAATTTAGCGGTGAAAATTTGTCTTTCCAACGCATCTAGTTTTATGATTTTTGTTTTTTTTAGGCTTACACTACTGTTGATCTGCGGGAGAGAAGTTCAGTTATATGTCAAGTAGCATCCTAAGCAGCATGGTAAGCGGCATGCTCACCGCATACTAAACCGTTAAACCGTCATCATACTAAACCGTTAATTTGTCCTACTTGACCCTCCCACCGCACGCCCATAAAAAATTAGGAGTTTATATTTTCAATGATTAACGATGGAATGCCCACGTAAACGATATAGCACGTAAGGCGCCGCCAAATGTTTTAGTTTGCGTCTTAGACAACTTAATGACCATTACAAAATGGCGTATTATTGTTGAGTTTTTAGATACGTTGCATTTAATGGGATTCCACAGAGCACAAAATAAATATTTACGGAAAAAAGTGCAGAAAAAGCACTTCGTTTTAGTTTGAACAACAAAAGAGCCTTCACAATTCAGTCTCAGCCAATCCGGAATCCCCCAGCAGGTTTCCTTATATTACAACAAAAACGCGAAGTAAGTTGAAATTATATTCAACTTAAAGGGGCACTCACACGTCAGAATCCTTCTTTTTTTTTGTTGTTGTTGTTGTTATTTAAAATGATTGAAAACGGTGCCTGAAAATTACCATAAAAAATTGAAATTTGAAGTTCCCGCGCGATCCGCGCCAGTGCACTGACGTCAAATATTGAGCTGTCCTGCGAGTCAAGTTTCTTTCACGCCTCCACTCCGAACCCCCGTTTATGCCGCGACTCGAAACAAGTGTTTTCCTCCGTGCGTGCCTTGCCGCCCATCGGTGCGAGCAGACGTCGCTTGACTTTCGAGGGGGAACTTATTTTAGGGCCCTTTTAGCTATCTCAAATTCATTGAAACGGTGTGATGTCAAAGAAAGCGCACAGTGGACTCTTGTGAGCGACGCGTGGGGCCATGTCCCGCCGGCTCTGCGTGAAAGGCTGCCCCGGCAGAGTCACAACCGAAACTGGGCTGCACATGCACCCAACCCAGTTGTCTTGACCGTGTGACGACTTCCGTTTCGAAGCCTGAGAGGTCGTCGGGCACCTAAGAAAGACCACTTCGTCGGATTCCCCGACTCACCGATCATCCTCTGCTACATGCGTCGAGCGCCGCAATGTTCTTTGAGGGAGGCTAAAAGCCAGGAGGCGACATCACACCGGACTCCGATTTTCAGTATTTGAAAAAGAAGGGCCGTAGTGCGTTCGCAAGTGCGTTAAAAGAACATGTTTTACAAATGCCGGTATTAAATGCTCTAGAACTGTTGCCTACGAAGCTTCCAAACTTTATGATATTTGACGTCACAAATCAAAAGAAGCGAAGAGATGAGGAGCGGAAGAGAAAAACGCCAAAAATAAAAAGGCGCGCGCGGGCGTGAATATATATATATTTTTTTCTTGCGTTGCGTCATTTTTTTTTTTTGCGTATGATTAAATTTTGCACCGTTTCAGGCAATAAAAAATACGACCTTTGGGGCGTCAGGACCTCTTTAAGTTCCGGCAATGTAAGAATTAATGAAACCATTAAATACATCACTTTGATGCCCCCAAATACGAATTCAAACATAGAACACCAAAACTTTTGCTGAGTTTAATTGCAGGAAACTTTCTAAATCATTCATATCTGGGGAAAAAGGTCACCGAATAAAAGATACTACCGGAAGAAACGTTAATTCCTGCTAAGCTTAATGTTTTGTTAATCCTCTAGATGAGTATACTTGTAATTTACTTTAGTCGAATTGATTTTGTGTATCATGCCTTCATTTGCGCCCTGAAAATCAAATAGTGCTTTTTAATACTTTTTTTACTTTGTTCTTGTTTCCTACTGATGTTCATTTAGTGTTCCATTTGTACGTGGTTCTTCGTGCCTACGCCGTTCAATTGTACACACACAGGATTCCTCGTTTCTGCATTGTAAAGGCACTGCCATGTGTTGGAGAGTTGTTATTTTGAAGCCGTTGTTATTTTGTTTATTTCACTCGTATCGCGCCACCAAAAATCCTGAGAATGTTGTAGTTCTAAATAAATAAATAAACTAGAATTGTTATTAATAATTTCTAAATCTAGTTGGAGTCAGTTTAACAGCACGATTTTTTTTATTTATATTCAATTATTTATTTATACATGCCATCATCTAATGCAAAGATATCATAGGCGGGCAATCTCAAAAACACTCGGCACAAAAAAAAAGTTGCAAATATGTGCACGGTCGCCTGCTAATAAGATACCGCAAGCAGACTCTAGGTTACAATGGATGAGCGGCGTTTGGCAAATCCGCTATATTTTTTTAGCCCCCGGTATCTGCTGCTACGCCGTTTAAATGAGCGTTTTTCCTGGGAATGTGCTCTAAGAAAGGTAGGATGTGAGTAGTATAGATCATTCTGATTCTGGCCCATCGTCCATTCCTCCGACCTTCAAAATGACCTTTTAGAAATAACATAAAAATATATATGAAAATCACACATTAGGAACCTTTTTCACCATGTCCTGTTCATAAATCGTCCCCAGCATGTCCTCTTTCTTCATGTCAAGTAGACGGTAAATCGGAACACCGTTGCTTATAACTTTCTTTAATCGAAAAAACTTCGATTGTATATTGTTTGCAGCCGTTTTCAAAAAAACTATTTATATTTACGTAATCTCACAGTAACACCAACTTTGAATTTTGATTTTTTATTACGTTTCAATGGAGGATACAAATTTTTCTGACAGCCTCTTCATTCTTTTTTTAATGAGGCTTCGGTAGGAGTCATTTTAATAGATCCATGATAGGATGTAATATAGTTTTTAACGACTTTATAGTTAAAGGAAAGGTTCAGACTTCGCGGATTCTGAGCCTTTTCTAATTCTCCTTTAATGCTCTTTTCTACTTTTCAAAAAAACAGAAGCCTTAAGGCCTGAATAACTACTAAAAACTGTAATTCCTTTAACTTGAAGCAGTCTCAGTACCTTACTATTATAAAACTCTAGTTCTTGATCTGTTCGTTTATTGTGGGGTGTTTTCTCTGACTTAAATACTTGAAGGAATGCCTCTGTTATATATTCACCTGTTTTGTCCTTTGTCCCATGCATATTTAGAGAATATACATATACAAGTTAGAATATATTTATAAATCTAGAAAAAAAACGTACAAATATGTTTTGCGAAACAAATACGCACCTAGAAATGTATACACCACTTTCACTACCCCCCATTAGGCTGTATTTGTATTTAAATACTTCCCTAGCAGCACACTTCCCCGGCTCATACTTGGGACAGTTTGGCGCAAGCTTGTGCCAGGCATGAGCCAGGTTGGCTCTAGCCCCTCCACTGTAATGCCATCTGGCGCTGTGGGTAAGAGAATAAAAAAATAAATAAATAAAAACCTTTGAATTCAACAAGATCTGCTTGCCATTGATTAACCTTGACAATGATTAACCACCTATTCCTTGAAAGATTAGTGTACCTCTTTCAAATTCGTTTCTAATTCGTTTAAATTTCGTATGTTCTCTTTTCTCAGCAAACTCTTTAACCTCTTTTTTTTACATAGACTTTCTTTTAATGATCATTTATTCCAGAGTGCCAACTTTCTGGATCGCAATAAATGTTTTAAGTTCATTGCATTTATTTAGGAGTAAATATATACTCATTCAGTTTTTTTTATTTTTTTCATATATTTTTCTTAGCAAAATATTTTGCTGACTTTATGAAATCATTTCCTCTGTTTATAATCTCAACTTTCGAAATTTCGTTTGTTTTGTATAGGTGCAGAAGTTCTTTATTAAATTTGCAAGAAAGTTTATATGATTCTTTTTTATGCACATTCAGTGATTTTTCACCTGCATCAACGAGTAAAACACTTAACGTCAAACCAGTTACGTGAAGAAAACTTATCAGTTGCTGAACAGACAATTTTAGTGAAGGTTAGAATTCCCATTACATTTTGATAATAATGAAAGGATCTTCTGAATGGGTATACTTTCTTCTCAAGTTCTTCTTCCATTTATTAGTAAGATTATGTTCTGGATCTGATAAAAACTTTTGTATAATATCACGTTGTGTTTTACCTTCTACACGATTTAGAATATAGTGAATACAATAATAATTACATAAAAAGGAGTTTATACTTTGAATTCGTGATTAATTGTAGAGTATGTCTTTATTACGTGTTCTAAAATACTTTTGTACTTCTTTAGCAGGGGGGAGGCAAAAACTTTCAAAGAATGCAATATACTCTAGATCATTCAAGAAAGTAGTGAATCTACACCAGCTCGCCTCGGCGACACAGTCTTATCGTTAATCGAACCCGAAGCCGGTTTAGTCCCATTTTTATGTACATCAGCAACGTCATCGTCGCCAACGTCACTGCTTTTTGAAGCAGTCGCCATCCTGGACATGTTAGGACGTCGGCTGGCGGAAATGGACGCCGAAGTGTCATATTTCGGTATAGGCCTACGAAAGACGTTCGTTGACCCTGGGCTTTTTAAATTCATGTCAACTTTGGGAATTTAGTAGTTCACCAAGAAGGTTTCCAAAACTTACAGAGACGAAGCAAGCCAAAGAATTCGGGACATTCGCAACGCAATTGAGAGACTGGTTTTTACTGCTGGGAGAGAACTTCAGGCATCACAAAGACTACAAGCGATGGGACAGCATCAAAAGAATCCACTTCTACCTGTGCTGGTCTGAGACGATGCCTTCTGTCTTTCTGTTCCTGTCCCTACCACTTCTGGCTCGTCTAGCTCTCCACCCAGTCTCAGGTGGTTCAAGAAAATAGTAAATCTTCACCAGCTCGCCTGCGCCATCACAGCCTTATCGTAAGCCCAATAAGTTCCAGAGGATGGAAAAATCATTATTTATCACACCAAACTTGCTTAGGCAACATATTTTTTTCCAAAATAAACCACTAAATTGCGGTTTCTGTTTTAATATCTCAATAATATCCATAGAACTTAGTGGTGACTTTATTAGTCTTTTTACCAATTATCCTAACACCCTAGCCAGCAATTTTCGCAACACCTTTCACAGCTCCAGCCATTGCGGCTCCCGTTAAGGCCCTTTGACAAGTGGTAGGGCGGTGGCTGCTAATGGGCTGTTAAATCCCCAAAAAATTGGTAAAAAAAAAAACGTTTTAAGTTTTTTTTAATATTTTCTAACGAAGTTTTATTGAACTTTATGTCTACAGCCTTAAACATCTTTAGTTTCTGAGTTTGAGTGGACGTAAGAAGCAATCCACGATTTGTGGGATTAACCATCGGATCAATTGATATATTATATCCTTCTTTCTGAATTGAAGTCTTAAGGTTATTTTGTTGACATTCTGATAGATTCATATTGTACATCATATCCATTATATGCCTTGCAGCCGGAGTACTTCTAAGTTTAACATGTACCTAAATAAGAGATGTGTGAGCATTTTGGAATGCAATCTTAGGTGTATTTGTAACGTCGAAACATAATATTGGATAGAGGCTTGCAAATGTTGGGTTTGTTACAACTGTCCCAATATCTACGTCTACAGTTGTAATGCATTATGGGCCACAATTTTATGTCACGGTAACGGTTTTATTTGTGTTAACAAAGCATTTACCAGTCGTCACACCATTCTAAAGATTTATTTAACGTACTTTGAACATTTATTTCTTTGATGGATTTGCTATTTTAGATCAATTTTTACAGTCGTCAGCAAACAATTTAATATTTACGTCTATGCCTTTTGTTATGTCGTTGATATAGAGCAGTAAAAGAAGCGGAGAAAGTACTTAGTCCTGAGGAACGCCAGAACACACATGATTCTTAGTATAATAGTCATCTCTAATATCTACATATTGAGATCCCCCAGTCAGATTGTCTTTCATTCAATCAACAAGTTGACCTTCGCCTAGGATCTTGGTCAGTTTGAAAAAGAAGCTTAGTGTGGAAGACTGTCAAAAGCTTTTGAATTATCTAAAAACTACTTTCACCTGACCCCTGCGATTGATAACTAAAAAAAATCGTGCAATCTTTAGAGTAACTGCGTGACGGTCGATAAGGCGATCGGAAACCACGCTGGGGGGTGCATAAGGTACTGTTTTCTTTGATAATAGAAGTTATATACGTTAATGCACTCTACTAATAATTTGCAACAAGTCGATGTTAAGGAGATTAATCTAGAGTATGGTGTACAAGTTGATCGCCTTATTTGTACACATTATTTTAGCTCTCTTCCAGTCAAGTAGAATCTTAGATTCCTCAAGTGACTTACAAAATATTAGTGATATGTGTATCTTGAAGCCCATTTGGAATATCTCTTCAGACACATGTGTGTAATTTTATCTGGTCCAGAGCATTTTTTTGTGTGTGAAGATCGAGAAGGTCGAGTATGTCTGGTTTATATATTGTTATCTTATTTACACTGCGCAGCGAAAACTTTGTGTACCGGTGGGAAATCTTTTTATCTTGCGTGAAGAAAAAAAAGTAGTCGTAGACGTTGTTAGCTTATTCCGTACTACCTTCTGTTGCTTCTTGTGACTTATTTTTGCACCTGGGTCGATGTATCTCCAAAATTTTCCTGGTTCAGTTTTTTTTAATTAAAAAATATGTTTTGTTTGTGAAACCTTTGGTTTGCTGTTTTTACTTTGTACCTGAGTTCTTTATTGAGATTTGTATTTTGCTGTTTTATGGTTTTGCTTTTTCAACTTTGTTTTCTTTTTTCATGTTGATTAGTTTTCCCTTCATGAATAATATTACGCATTTCCTATGGGTTATGTTTTGTTCTTATTTGTATTTTTGTTGGAATATCGGTGTTTATAGAGTAGTAAATCACAAACTTGAAAGAATTCTAGTGGTCGTTTGTACTGGTCTCTGGCCGCAGAAATATTGTATGAAAAGGGCCAAATTGGAAATCCAAATAATCAGGGATAGGCAGATTGTTATCCCGATTGTAGTCGACAACATGAGTAATCTCAGAGTTCCTTTTTGGCATAGAGTCCTGTTTAAGTGATGCTGCCACCATATCATTATCAGATATGCCGTCAGTGATGTCTACGTCTAGCTTCTTTATGGAGTAATCGCTCACAGATATTAGATCGGGGACACCTTGTGAAGAATTTTGGGTACGGGCGGCACCGGAGACAATCTGTATTGACAGATAATCAAAGCGAAGGACACAAAAGGGGTTAGTGCTATTCAGGGAATGTTGCTTTACTCGTTAGACCAGACCATTCCGGGGATGTTAAAGTCTCCTGTCATGATTATTTAATCATCTGGTTGAATGTTCGTAAACATATAAGAGTGCAAGCTTTAAAAATCCCCTTTTGTTCGGTCTGTAAATGGCTGCAATATACAAATTGTAATAATGTAACGTTCATACATTGATGACTCAATGTTTACAACATTTGTCATCGCTTTTCATTTCAAAACTTTATGTAAAGAATAGCTACGCCGCCGCCACATGATTGCATATCTTTCCTCATACTACACTAGCCTGGTAAGTTGATTGCGTAATTATGAATGTTCTCAGGAAGACGGGTTTCCGTTATTATCGCAACGTTTGGTTTGTGAGCGTCAGGTGCCTCCGGGGGTGCAAGAGAATAGAGGCAGACTTAAGACACGTGCATGAAGAAAGAAGACATTTCATTGTGAAAGCTGAAAGAATGTGAAAAAAAAGCTGAATAAACTAAAAATATCGTACGCAGATCTAACAAGGCAAGGCACTCCATAAAGAAACTAATACAGTGTCATCGATCACGACGGTCCGTTGGAGCCCCTACACTCACGGAGGGGGGGGGGGGGGGGGGAGGGGGGGGGAAGGGGGAGGGGGGGGGGGGGTTGTTGGAGCCTGGGACTGGAGCTGGAGGGGTTATGCTTCCCTGGTGTGGGACCAAGGCTGGGCTTGTTTCTAACATCCTATCTCAAGTCACAGGAACAGGACAGAAAAGGTTGCCTGTTCTCTCCTTGAAGTCAAGCCTTGTCACCGCACCAGGGAAGCATGACCATCCCAGCTCAAGTCCAGCCTCGGCCCCGCAGAAGGGAATCATAACGACCCCAGCTCAAGTCCCAGGCTCCGACATAACCCCAGCATGAGAGAGTCAACCTTATGGGTCCCAACGGACCGTCATAATGAGTGAGCGTGTATTTGTTTCTTTACAAAGTTGCTTTCACTATCGAGTTATGAGATCTCCATACGGTGCTTTTGGTTTATTTCGCTTTCTTTTCACTTTCGTCTAACTTTCATAATTAAATGTTGTTTGTTTATTCATGCACGTGTCCCAGGTCTGCTTCCTTTCTGTCAGATCCCCGAAAAACGCAATAATGAGTCAGTACAATTGCTTCAAGTTTTTCTATTTTATCCAGCAGGCTTTTTGCAT